CTCCCATCTCATCTGCTGCACCATCTGTGCAGCTGTAATAAGCAGAGCTCCTCATGTGCTCTCTTTCACTCCCTTGATTTCCATTCCCTCCTGATTCTGGCTCACCCCCCTCTCCAGGCATGGCCCCCCTGCTTGGCTGTTTGACTGACTTGTTTGCATCCCGCGATGGCGCTACCATGCAGTCAAACCCACTGTGTACAAAAAAAAGACTCAGCTTGTGTTGTCACACAGTACCTTCTGCAGTCACGCAGCCCCAGTTAGCGCAACACTGCTTTCATCTCCAGGTGAAAGTATTCTGAAAGCAGAAATGTGATGACCTTACACCCTTACCACGTACAAAATGCACGATCACTCTCAACTCCATCAAAACAAAAGCGTCTCCCTCTCAGAGTGAAGAGCATGCAGTCCAAATCGAACAATTCAAGTCCTCAACGACAGCAGACTATTGATCTGAGCCAGTAATCACACTGACACCTCACTCAGCTGGGTGATGGAAAAATGAGCATGATGGAAAAAGATCTATATGCTTATGGAGTGTGGGATTAGATATTTTTTTCCTACTATAAGTTCCGGATAAAAATGGTCAGTTAGGAGGTAAGGACTCTGTGCCACTCTACAAATACTGAGAAGCTATTGTGGGGTCCATATTGATTGTATGGCTACCAGAATCAAAGGGCATAGCTGAGTAAACAAGGCATCCACTACAGCAAAGAGCTCTACTACCTCACAGTGGCACATTGGGACAAAGGTCTTAAGTGTTTTGGATAGGAGAGAAGGAGGGAGGGAGGGGGTATCCAACAGAAAAGAAATTCATTTATCCTTCTGAGATGTCTAGAAAGTTACTGGAAAAAGGAAGCAGTTAAAGCACAAACACAAGCTGTGCTTTAAGAGTTCACCAAGTCCTTCCACGAATTTATCAAAAATCTGTTTGTGTACAGTTCTATTTTATAACCAAATTTTCCAAATTCATAAGATTTTTTTTACTGACTTCTCTTTAAATTCAAGCAGGATTTTCTTACCCATTTTAAATATGCGAAACTCAGTTACGTGCTTCTGTACGCCCATCTCTTTAGCTACATCTGGATCAACATGCAGTGACAGATGTGGAGCTGTTTGCTTGTGTTGCCAGCTTTGCTGATTAAATCCATTCTAACCACACCCACACAACACTGGAGACATCGCTGAATATTTTTTTTATACCAGTAAGTTATTTGGGCATATTTAGTTTAGATATTAATTCGACACTTTAAAATAAAGTTTTTAAACAGCCTATAAAATGTTGGCCAGTTGGCTGTAGTTAGATGTGGCCGTAAACGTAACCGGTTGTAAGTAAACCAGAATATATCTGCAGCTGCACTAACAACAAATGTGTGTGAGAGCCAACAAGAAGCCTTTTATTAAAAATTTATGGAATTCACAAGGAAGGTCAAATTATTTTGAGCTCTCACTTGTTGAAAGATTTCTCACTAGATTGAACGCTGCAGATGAGCCAAGACGTTAAAGTCTCCCACTAGAAGCTCTTCGACTGTTAGACTGAATTTTAAAATCTCATGTAGGAGAAATTCTATAGAAACGATTCTTCAAGAGTTATTGATTATAAAGAGTCAGATAGCCGGACAGTACAGAATCAATATTACTAAGCTGTCCCTTCTCTATCTGTATAATGCCTCCAATTTAGCCAATCTTTCCAGTTTAGAGGTCAAGGAGTTGCTTTCTTCTATAAACAGTTTAGCTACCAAGCTGGAGACAACATTTCTTGTGGAGGCCGCAGTCATAATTAAGGTAATATTACACAGAAAGACAGGCGTGATCCCTCAAATTAGTGATTGATTAGAGCATGTTGAATAGGAGTCAGTGGTGGCCAAGGAACCACGTCTGGCTCTTTGATTCACCATCAGAGGACAGACAGCCTCCCTCCCAGCACATCTCCACTGTGGGTCTTCACAGATTGCAGGGATGTAAGTAGGTAGGGTGGGGATTATCCTGGCAGAGCAAAGCAGGGTTCTGCAGCACAGAGTGGCACCATGAGGACTCTGTGGATAACGTGCAGTCTGTGATGTGTGCTGTAGAGGCTAGTGAAAGCTGAGCCAGGAGGCAGCACTGAAGCATGGGCTTCCATTCAAAGCCACGCAGACACATCTACCTCTATTGTCTGCCATGCCTACCTATTTTATCCCCCCCACCTTCGCTGCCATTTGATAAGATTTCACACATTTTTGCATATCACCCTGCATCTTATTCTCATTATGGAAATCGGGGGCTGCTTCTGTGCCACTAGTACTATTAACATATCCAAGGCCAGAGGTGCACACAGTAGAGAAGATTAATGGGATTACATGTGGAATTTAAAATAAAATAAAAAAAAAAATCCCCAAATCCATCACATGGCTTTAAGTGCACCTTTTCTGCATCAGGTAAAAACATCACAAAAATGTATCAGATTGATAAAAAAAATAATAGAAAAATGTGAACTTTAAGCAAAGTTAGTATGCTGCTTTTGTACACAGGGGTTGTTACTGGATGACTGCTGACAAGAAGACACTCTGACCTTTGCTTCCAAAACAACATGTAATCCAGTTGTCACCAGTACTTTACAATTCATGCACCACCCAACGAGTGGGCTTCTTAAAATAATGTCCTCAGGTACTTGTAATTAAATGCACATGCTTGTGTGCACACAAACGCACCGCCTTGTCACCTCATTGCCGCTTAACTGCCGGACGACTTTTTTCACACTTTAGAGCTCGATCTCATTAACTGAGCACAACCCATTTCTGCTAAAACAGCATGATAATGTGGGAGTTATCAAATAGAGCAGGTTCTACTTGAGTTACTGCTGTCAGCAAGGGCTGAAAACACAATGACTGCTGCCTGCTGCTTAAACATCTCTAAACACAGCACACAAGGCTGCCACTGTATGAGTTATATGTATATAAAAAATAAGATAAAAAAAAGAAGCTGCCAGCTATATGCCTTGTAGATTGAGACTCACAATAGGACATTACTACAGTGTGATCTTTGGGGTTGCACGGACTACTGCACCTATTGGCCTTTTGCCTATTTAAATTGCAGTCAATCTGTTGTGTTCACTCATGCTAAAGAGAGGGATGCAGTGAAATCCCTGCTTAGGGCTCACATCTTCACACCAAAGGAGGATGCAATTTCTTCTTTAAAAAGGCAAATTTCTCATTACTTTTTTGACAACCATTTGAATATCTATATAGACTTAATTTCATGCTTGACCAGGATATCACCATAGATGTAGGCATAAATGGCAAAAACAGAAAGAGTTCCTTTGTACAATCAGACCTAGGAAAAAAGGGTTGATTTGTCTTTGTTTCTTCTTCAATTATTGACAGTTTTTGTTTGAAGTTATATTCAGCAGAGTACAATGCCTCTGCAGGGTTTAAGATTTTTTTATTGTCTAAACGAGGCCAAATTTAAAGCCTCATAACCCATGATGACTAAATGATTTTAATGTAAAATATTTAACAGTACTGTGGTTCTTCTGGCAAAATACAGCAAAACAGTTCCGAAAACAAAGGAAAAGTGCATTCTTTTAGATTGTCATATTAAAGAAACAATTAACAGACCATTGGGTTTTTTCCCCACTGCAAGAGACATTTAATTAGTTCTCTAAATAGTAGCTCGCATTGTTAGCGATGCATTCTCGTGTTCCCATGCCTTTTAAATGCACCAGGGATACACTGAATACAATGCATGTATGTAATTCCACTGCTTTCTGTTTTGTTGTCTTGCTTTGTTGGCATATTCACTTTTACTGTGCATATTCAAAAAGGAGCAAAGGTCATTCTAACATTCAGTTATTTTTCTAATGCACAGCTGGTAGATGTGTAGGAAAATGTATTCCCCCACACTTTAATAACACATCTATTAAAACAAAAAAACCCAACATTTAGCCCCCCAATCATGCATTTATAATTTCATATATTAAAACTGTCATCTAACATTTATCGGGTGCCTTGTATATTTAAAAAAAAAAAAAAAAAAAAAAAAAAGAATTGTGATGGTTTAAAAATATTTAGTGCAAGCAGACCACATTTTATTTCTCACATGGACTCATTTCCATTCCAACTTCAGTTTACATGCAAATAAAGGGGCTCTGTGGGAGTTGAGCTACAGTACAGCAATAAACTCTATAACTGAATTAGGTGAAAAAGCCGTTTGTAATGTCAGTTCAATATCTAGGACAAGTTAATGTTGTAATCTAAGCAGCAGCGAGCAACAGCCTGCATCGCTGGAGAGAGGCCAGAAATGCCAAAATGTTCTGCGGCTTCTGATAACACCATGCATCACTTAGCTCTGAGGTTACATACTAAAATATTCAGCAACGTAATCCTTAGTTACAATAAATCATAGCTGGTTCCTTGCAAGTTATCAGGATTGTAAAATGTCTAGAAGGCGTGCAATATGCGCTTAAGTCTCATTGTCAATTTGCGTTTAAAGTCTGTCAGTAGCAGGAGTGAAACCAGGAATAATAAAAATCCAACGGGTCCTTCTGACACCTCCGACTCACTCAAGCATGATCCTAGCTAAGATGACCAGGGGCAGCAGGAGGCCAGATCAGACACGTCTCCCTCCTGAGGTGAGAGTCGCCCCATATTGGTCTAGGAGCTGCAGCGCCACGCCATTGGTCCAACCAAACCCCAGCTGCAGAACAGGGCAACACAGCACAGCATGAGGGGTATTTATATATTCACTAAACCAGCAAACTACAACAGAATAAATACAGGAAATGCAGCCATTGGTTTTCTTAGTATTCCCATCTCATAAACTAAAGTAAAACTGGATGACAACGATTTTCTATCAAAACAATGTTACAAAGAAGAGGAGGAGTGAGAGTGTGTGCATGAGCATGTAAATGTGTTCAAGTTAAACAGGAGAGAAGAGGAATTTTCTGGGCTTTGCATGGAATTAGAAAGACTTGCGTGACTATAAGCACATTAGTTTTACACTGTCAACACATGAAAGGGAAATACCTGAACTTCATATTCTCCTCCACCACCAGGTTTTCCATCTCCGTTCACATCGTACTGTCAGGAGGAAGAAAATTGCACATTCTGAGCCAGCTGTGTTATCACACTGCAACACGAGCTCCAAAGTGCTGAAGCCTTCAAAAACTCACCTTTTCAAACATGGCTTCATACTTAATGTATGCCAGCCAGTTTGTCTTGATCCAGCGCTGGGCCAACTCGAATGCGAGTTTTTTAGCATCCTCTGAAGGTAGCTTGGAAAAACCTGGGTTTTTAAAACATTTAAAAACTATTTAAGCTGCTCAAAGCAGAAATCTGTTAAATGTTTGTAATGTTTCATCTTTATGTTGCCAGCTAATGTCGAATTAAACGATAGCTACATTTACATGCACACTAATATTCTGGAGGTAAACAGCATATTCAGATTCGATACTATGAATCAGGCCTCACTTCTAAATGAGCCTTTTTATGATTAAGCCACATGGGATGTGTTGACTTTAGTACCATCTTTTGGACATTGTTTGCATCTCAGGTGGGATTTTTACTAGAATTAGCAGGGGAAAGTAAAATACAGTGTCACTTTTATACCATTATCCCCCTTGATGATTGGTTATACATGGCTTTGTTTTTGTTTAATTAATGCACTGAGGTAATTCAACAGTAATGCCAACAATTAAAGGGAGTAGACAAACCAAGGAAAGGTTTATAACCCAGTAGTGCAGCTGTCTTTACCGGTCCCATCAGACACCTGATTTCAATGCTGCCGAGAAAGCATTTCAGGTGATAAAGACGTATATATACACATATAAATACATATATGAATGACAGAGAGAGACCCAAAGGAAGGACATTTTGCACACCGTGTCTGATGTGCATAAAAACACTCAATTATAACCAAACGTTTATTGCACTGAATTTAGTCAACAGGCTACAAGCAGCCATTATTATTTCTATTACCAACACCGTTTGTTCTCAAGGAGGCTCGATCACTAAAGCCACTGCACAATAAGTCATAAAAAAAAAAACAAACACCTCAATTTTTTTCCTCCTTGTCTAAGAAATACTAGTACATTATGAAACTGGTCTTAAGAAAAATAGGTGTAATTTTAACAACAGATCTCAGTTTTTCCAAATTCAGTCTTCACAAAGAAACGCCGCTATCATAAATCAGACACGGGTCAGGCTTCTCAGTTCAGCCATCTCGCTTCAGTGTGGTATGGAAGGCAAGAAGACGGTAAAACTAAGGATGACTCAGACCTCTAGCTTGGATGAGTTTAACAGCACAGACACCTCTAATGACATGAATCATTTTTAACCACTTTTAGCACAATGTGTCTTCCTCCCCATCCCCTCCAAAAAACAGGAAAAAAAAAAAACCCAAGCCACCCTATACTGCAGTTTGCACACTTTCCAAGGTCATCCTCCAGGTCTAATTGGACCATTTGGATGGCACACCTTTGCCATGTGTTCAACTGTTTACTGAAAATTGCCTAAATCAGCTGAGGACACTTATAATCCAAAGCTACAGATGAGCCGCTGAGCAGACCTGATGAGAATGTTTTATCGGTTACAGATAATCAATAGTCCTAGAAACTGTATTGTAGAAATCCACTGTGCAGAGCTGAGCCTATGTTTAGAATTTGCTGTTCATTTTAAGAAAGAATTACCCACTGACAATAGAACAGGATGTTCTGTTAAGTGCTGAATCATCACTGTGGGTTGGCAGGTGAAGTTCATGGTACCTACCATCGATAAGCATGTGCTGCAGAGGTGGCCACGCATTAGGATAGTCCCACTGCTGCCCAGACTCTTTCAGTGATGTTGGAACTCCATTGGGAAACTGGAGAGCTCCACTCCCCTGCACAGACATTACAAAGCAAGAGTGTGCATAGATGAAAGCTCTGTAGTGCGTTTGTGCCATCTGCTGGTGTGGCTGAGCATGATTTATAAAAGCACGTTGCATCCTGCTGGGAGTTGGCTTCTGAAAAAGAGTTCATGGCTAAAAATCTAAATGTCTCTGCTCCCTCAGCGACTGTCAAGAAGCTCATGAGCCGAGTATTTAAATGCTCAGTTTGCCATCAGAGGAGGGGACTAGTCATGTTGGACATCTGCTTGACATTTTTACAAATGTAATGGGATAAATATATTTTAAAGGGGTCTTTCACACAAATGGCATGATGGGGTCATATAAAAACAATTCTTTCTGGTTTTATATGTCAGTTCTTTGATAACAGCAACAACAAAATTATTCAAGGGCTAATAGTTTCAGTTTCTTGTGGAAACTAATTTGAGGTAAATGTGTATCTTTTCTAGTTTTGATGAACAAAACAGGCAAAATGATCTATTCTTCCAGGAAAATATCAACCAACCTTCAGATACTGTACCGCCTTCTCTCCCATCTCAGGCTGAGAATAGCACTGTGCCCAAATTGGTCCCAGGTTGGAGGGATAAAACTCAAAGTTTTTGGAGCGCGTCATCAGGTTGTAGTCAAACCAGGCTCCCCTCTCAGCATCCCAAAGCACAGACTCTATCGCCTCCAGCCTCCTCGCTGCAGCCTGGTCGTATACTGCAGCTGAGTCACTATCACCTGTCAGGAAGTAACACATCACCATTATGTAACACCAGTTAGGAATTAAAAAGCCACGCACAAGTTAGTTTCAAGGTTAAAAAGGCTCACCGAGCAGCCGATGAAACGACGCAAGAGTTTTCTCATTGCGGCACAGCAAAGCGTTGAGGTCAGCGGGCAGGATCTGACTGGTGCGCGTGTCTCTCAGGGTGCCACTGTTGTCGCTGCCATCAGCTATATACCAGCGGGAAGTAAAGTCCCAACCAGACTCTGCACCCGTTTTCAGATCCATCCACAGCTGCTCTTTCTTGCCTGAGGGAAAGAAAAAGAAAACACTAGTAGAGCCACAACAAATCAGCATCTAAACTGTGGTACTTACTCGTTAAATATGCAGCCTCATGTTGAGCCATGTTTGTTTTCTAGCACTTTTGTCAGAAGCTTTGGTGATTAAAAAAAAAAAAAACTTGTCAAAGGAGGAGAAAGCAACTTAAATATACAGCTCCAGTATTTTCCCTTCAAACAGGTTCTCTTTTAAGTGTGGTAAAGTTGTTCAGTGAATGAATGGGTTTTAACATTAAATATTCATTACTCGGGTACTTTCAGAGCAAATTTGTTTTGCACAGATGATCCTCGCGTCTCTGAGAATATAATATTATCCCTTTTCCCACTTTCTCAACTGGAATAAAATGACCATCAGAGTGCAATACATCCCATGAACACTAATAGGCCATTACCATCAGTGAGTCCCTCAGCTAATTCCAGATCGTCCAGATAAGATTCAGGCCTAGAAAGACAGACATGGTTGTTGTAGGTGAGGACATGGAGTATAGTCCCACAACCTAAATATCCATTTGTTATTTATACCAGGTAAACTTCCTTTAAACATACCTGGGCAAGCCCACCTCTACATAATACCGGTTCAGTACATGCTGCTTCCCATTTAATTCTAGATCCACAGAACGGTTCTCCATCCAGAATTGGTACTCCACCTCCAGAACTGGTAAAGCCGCTCTAAACCGATTGTAAAGACAGCAGGAGGTGCTTTTTAATTCACAGTACTTTCACATTGCTTAATATCCTTAAACACAAAACTTAAAGTGTCACATTCTAATTAAGTATGGTAGGAACAACAAAACACCGGAGGCACAGAGAGGCACGAGCACGGAGGTGCTGATGTTTAATATGCTGAAAGAGGCAGAAGGCAGCTAAAGAATGATAATGTGTCTGGCAGGACGTCAGCTGGGGCTAAATATCACCTGAGGAACTCTTTATCCTTGGTTGCTTGATAGTAGCTCTCCACCATTAGAGTGAGGAATGGAGGCTGACTGCGCCTTTCATAGTAAATCCGCCCACCATTTGGAACAAAGCCATATCTGTAGGAGGGAAAAAAATCTTTTATTCCACAAATCTTGAATATCCCCTGAGAGCTCCATTTCCAAAGTGCACAACTTGGGTTACTAAATGACTTATTATTGAAAATTTGCACGGTACACTACCTGCAGCGAGGTGGACATGTTTTTAAGTGCTCTGAATGATGAAAGACGTTTTAAAGGCTTACCTGTTGACAAGATAGAGGAAGTTTTGGATCATTCCATGGGCTGTATCTGTCATCTCTGACAGCAGGAGCCCGTTGATGACCCAGTAGGAGTCCCTGTTGGACACAGAGACTCGCATCACTTTCTGGGTATGGCACGTAGGTGGGCTATCAGCATAGACCCCTGTCTGGGACTTCCTGTGATCTCTTTTCTCTCTGACCTTGTGATACTCTACCACAGCTGTCAGACAGCTTGGTGAAAGGCTTCATTGTTCACTCACCAATAGTAGAGCTCCCTGAAGCGCCCCCCTGGCACAACAACGGGATGTGGGGTGTAAATCTGAGAGTAGAGCTCTGGGTGATCTTTAACATCAGAATGGATCTGGATGGGAAATCATATTTAATTTAAAATGTTTGGACTGAAGCGTAGGTTAGTTAGTGGTGGATCCAACAGCAAAACAAAACTAGAGGAAATAGTGCATCAATATTTCCTAAAACTCAAGAAGAAACTGAAAAGAAAAAAAAAAAAAAAAAAAAAAAAAAAAAACACGGATAAAACAAAAGCATAAAATTTGTGAGGAAGGTTGGTTGGATATTAAAGTTGTGTTAGTTTGCTACTCATCACCTTTCTGCCAAGAGATTTCCACAGACCATGGATCTTTTCTGCCCACTCGCGTAGTTTATCATCTGCTATCCCACTCAGGAAGTTTGGCCTGCAAATCAGTCATGTCATGTGGGTACAGTTAAAAACACAGTATAATCTCAGCAGCAAACAAACACTGGATCTCACTTCTCATGCCAGTCCGGCGGAGCCCATGACTCAAACTCTGTCCCTGGTTGATCAAAGCTTGTATTGAGAAACTCCTCCAGTTTCACAGGCGGGATGGTTGTATTTGGAAACTTGCTTGAAAGATTGCGAAAGGCCGACAAAACATCATCTGCAGGGAGAGAGAAGCAACGCAGGAAAGCACATGATTCAGAGCCTTGAATTTTTTTTATTTATTTTAAAACCAGACCGACTTACCAGGAGCCGACCTCAGCTTCATGTCAACAAAATGCTTATCATCGTCAAACAGTTTTGCTTCTTGGACCTGGTGCAAGATGGGCCCGGTGCAGTATATTTCACTGAAATAAAAGGGGTATAAATTATTAACTGTATCATGAAGGTCATGTCTGTATTAGAGCAATACACTCAGTTGCTATCAAAGTCCTGTGGGGAAGCAGTAAATCAATAAAATATAAATATATCATGGAGAGGGGAAAGGTAAGCCTACAGCTTAGTGTGGTTGCACCCCCCCCCCCTCCAAAAAAACAAAAAAAAAAAAAAAAAAAACCCAACATTTTAAACCTGTCAAACAGCCATCTGTAGCAAGTTAAAAAGTTGGCAACCTATCAAATAAGCGACGTTCTGGCGGAAGGACAATGCACAACCGACTGGGCATAGCGTAAAGATGCACCGTATGCAACATTGCAGGTAATAGTCAATATATGTAACGCTTAAGGTAGAGTAACGGGCCAAACCAATTTTTTTTTTTTTTTTAATTACAGAGGACACGTCGGCTAAAACGGGACAGTTTGCAACCCTAGTCTGTAGTCGTGTCATCACTGCCCAGATGAAACGCAGCAAGCCATTAAGCAGAGACCTTTCAGTAGTTTAGATTTCAATCACTGCAGTAATTTGGCATCATTTTAAATCAAATTTGTAGATTTAGGATTGACCCAAGGTTCCTCTAGTTCTTTTCCTAGACCAGGAAATGACAAATCTCTTGTATCATGGAGACTTTCATGTCCCCTTACACACAAGACCCCCCCCCCACCCCAAAAAAAAAAAAAAACAAACACCACCACAGAAGTTGTATTTAAAAGTATATATTAATATAATCCATACCTGTCACATGGTGGAGGAACATCTCCCTTTACACTAGCAAAGAGAGCCAAAGACAAGAAGCACAACGCTTTCAAGTTGCTCATGTTCAGCTGTAAAGTCAAGTGACGCCAAAGTACAAGCAAGAGTGCTATAAGAGAACTGTCATAAGAGAAATGCCTCCAGGTCAAAGTTTATATAAAGACACAAGATCTGAAGAGGACAGCTGCCTGCTACATTAGTGGCGCCAAGCTTTGAAAGACTCATTAGTCAGGCGAGCAGCAGTGTCCAAGTTCAATTTGCAATATATTTGGAGGAAAAAAAACAAAGAATATATATTTAAAAAAAAAAAACCACTTCAGACAATAAATTTCAGTGAGCTTTATTGAACACAACTTTTAATCCAATCCAGTAATATTTATGACATCTTGCATCACTGAAAAATCTGCCAATTAAGCAACCAAATTCAAAATAAAGAAAATTTCACTTAAATTTGGAGCCTTTTTCATGAAACGTGTACTCCATTGAACATTTCATTTTGAAAAGAAAAAAGCGGGGTAACTCAAACCTTTTCGTACCCATTACCTAAACTTTGGATCTTTAGATATCCTGTTTCTGAAGTACCCACAGGCCCCACCCCACATATTTTACTGATGCATAAATTCAGAAAGAAATCCTAAAAAGGACTCCTATCGTCTCTTGACAGTTGAGAGATGGGACGGCCAAATTGTACACAAAAGTTGTGTTATTAATGTGTCACAACAATCAAGAGGACGAACTTATGCATCAGGGCAGCAGGCGCACCAATTCAACCTCCTCCCAAATTTAAAAAAGAAAAAAAAAAAAAGACCTTAACAAAAGAGACAATTTTATTAACCAATTAGATGCCCAATCTGGGGAAAGATGCTCTTGTCTCAGTCGTTAAGGTTCTCCATGACAGCCACTAGCAGTAAAACTAGCTCCCACATGAAGGCAGCCATACGCTGAACCTCGAAGGGTCGTCAATTTTAGCCTCAAAGCATTTTGCTGCGTCAATTACTGCCAGTGGGCTGATAAGAAACAGACAGCTGCCAAGTGCCTGCACAAACAGATCCCTGTCGACTCCACTAATGCTCAAATTTAATTTTGACTTTAAACGAGAAAAATTCCCCCCACCCCCCCAAAAAACAAACAGCCTAATTATCAGTTTAGATGTGCAAGTATTTCTGGGACAACAGCAGAAGTGTGAGAACAGGGATCAGAGTCTAACCAATGAGAAATACACGGGTAACTAATCATCTCTGCTACACTTGTCTTTTGAAATGAGCTTAAATTAAATGAGCAATACTTCCCATTGGTTAAAACAGTTAAGAGAGCATCTCGCCATATTAAAGGGAACACCTCAGTTACAAAAAGGTTTCAGCTCAACAAAGTGATCAGAGGACCTCAATGCAAATGTAAGGTTGTCACATTGCATATAAAATGCAGAGGTAAAGCCCCAAAACCCAAAACATAAAGCAATAAAGGGCAGAGAAATTAGCCATGAACTCAGCAGGCTGGGATGCCCAAGTTATGTCTTAAACAAGCAGTCTGACATAAAGTAATTTTCTAACCCATCTTGTTCATTCCCCCTCCCTGCACTAGCATGCACTTTACTCCCAAGTGGGTATCTAGTGTGTAAAAAGTAGTGCAGTAAGTGTAGCTGCATGAACCATCTGTGTTTTAAGTGCTGATCAACTTGCTCATGTTTGTTTTTAAAGTATCTTTTGTTAGCTGGTTTCACAAAAGCCAGCCAACTTGCAAAGCACAGAATTTGTTCCTGCTACATTTTAGATGGATTTCAGATGGTTCGTTTTGATGCAGTCGGCCAACATTCTGCAGAAGGAGGGGGACTTCCTGCCCCTCCCTCAATATTAGGAAGTAATGTAGCTGTGCTTAAACAGGGCATAAATCAACGTAACAGCTAATACCGTCGCCACAAAACAAATTATCTGCCAATTCAGCTGCACTGCAGCGAGTAGTAAGTAATAGAATATTTTCTTTTCCAACACCAGCACTCAGTATAAGAGATCTTAAGAGTGTTTCAAGAGTTTCACAAGTCAAGGCTGGTGACAAAGACTTCATTACTCAAATGCACAAGCTTCAGAAAGCCATCTGTCAAGACTCGCACTTGTTAACACTGGAAGCAAAAGAACAAGGGCAACAATTTAAACAGTTAAGTGCATCTTTGAAGAAACATTCCAACAAATATGCATGGGCTAAAAAGATTTTCAGCAATAACTGTCTCTAAAAACATTTCATGAACTACGCCATTTAAATGTTTTAGATTCCGGTAAATTCTGCAATTTCTAAAATTATAAATAAATTCACAGGCCAATATTGCAGATCAAACAAACTGGCAGTTCGGGAAACCATCTCCAGTGCTAACAAGAGGGAAGGGGCGGATGGCTTTTCAGTTTGTCAGGCAGCCTTTTTAACTTGTTTAAAACAATCTTAAAATGAAGGTATATACACAAAGTGTAAGGTGCACCCCAAACGCTGGCTGCACGTCTCACAGAATTAAGTATGGCCACCCACAGGAAGGTGAAACACAGGACGACAAAAGACAGACCGAAGAAGAAATGAGGGAGAAAAAAATAAAAATACGCGTCAGGCATTCGCTCCAAATAAACTCCACCAAAATAGGAATCCTCATGACTCATGGCGTTGCAAGGCTGCTTAATTATTTTTAGTGTTCTGATGCTGAAGACAGAGGAAAGAGTTTGGGTCTCTCAGAAGCACAAGTTTTTTTTCACCAATGACTGACAGTCTGGCTGCATCTTGGAGAAAGGGAAAAAACAAAAACAAAAAAATCCAGCATCTCTGTCCATGGAAATCCAAGTTTGTCCTCATTTATCAGCCAGACTCAAGTTCAGCTTAGCCAGCAAGAAGATAATTCAGACCAGTCTGCCTCCAATCATCTCCAGTTGCTGTGAATGGATGACCCAACCAAAGACGGGTATGAATTCACCTATTTTGTCAGACATTAAATTAGTGTAACAAATTTTCAATTAGGTGAACAGAAATATGTAGCGTGGAGTGGAGAGAGATGACCGATAATGAGGGGTTATTACTTTAGAACAAGCTGAACTGTTTAAGGCACTTGATATTAATTGGATAAAACTTCCGAACTTAAAAGTGGAGAATGGAGGGTGTCCTATCGCTCTCTGTTGGTGCTGGCTTTGTGTCAGTGGTGGATATGAATCATCACAATGTGCACTGATAACTTTTCTGACTTGGTCCCATTCTTTCCTCGTGGTGCCCATGTCTTCAGGGTGTGGTGGTGCAGCAAAGAGCCTTGAAAAGGCAGATGAGTTCTTCCAATAACACATCCATCAAAGCACGCATTCCTAATGGTGGCATCCAAAAAAGGAAGACATACAGCAACTGTACATTTAAAAAAAAAAAAATCCAAAGATGTGGGGGATGAAGTAGAATACAGAGGGGAGTGGAGGATGGACTGGTCTCTAGAAAAAGGAGAAGGGAAAAAAAAATATCACATTAGACCAGACTGTTCAACAAAACCCCCACTAACAACACTCAGATAAAAACTATTCTACACATTACCGAAGTTCTTGATTTACATTGGAGTTACAGTGTAGTGGTCTTTTTTTCTTTTATCTTTGTTAACAAACCGGCTGATTTTTCATAGATCAGATGACCATTTGGGTTATAATGTTTCAGAGTGAAACTAGGGTACGATTTCTCTGTACATGCACGAGGACATTCCTGACACCATGATTGAAATGCCTAAATTCTTATCATCAAAATCAAGACAGATTTGCTGGAAGCAACCTGTATAAATGTATCAACTCAGGGGTCATTAGCAGATATCCAACTTCTACAAGGATATATTAAGGATGGTAAAGACATTTCATCTTCTGTTACCTGGAAACACTGTACCAAAAAAATAAATAAATAAAAAAATAAATGGCCACGAGCTGTGGGTAGTGACCGAAAGAACGAGATCGCGGATACAAAAAGCAGAAATGAGCTTCCTCCGAAGGGTGGCTGGCCTCTCCCTTAGCGATAGGGTGAGAAGTTCGGCCATCCGGGAGGGGCTCAGAGTAGAGCAGCTGCTGCTCCACATCGAAAGGAGCCAGCTGAGGTAGTTCGGGCATCTGACAAGGATGCCCCCTGGGCGCCTCCTGGGTGAGGTGTTCCAGGCATGTCCCACCGGGAGGAGGTCCCGGGGCAGACCCAGGACACGCTGGAGAGATTATATCTCGGCTGGCCTGGGAACGCCTTGGTGTTCCCCGGATAAGCTGGAGGAGGTGGCTGGGGAGAGGGAGGTCTGGGCCTCTTTGCTTAGGCTGCTGCCCCCGCGACCCGGCCTCGGATAAAGCGGATGAAGATGGATGGATGGATGGGGGGAGGGGAAAAAAAAAAAAAAAAAAAAGCCTCCTTGTCCTTTTTCCTAGCTATTTTTCCTTGATCTCAGAAACTTTGTAAGATCATAGCAAGGTTTGAAGCAGAATTTATAAGGAATTAAGACAACAGCACATAAACTTGGGACTAAGACGTGCATCTCATTCCTAACCAATATATTCCTATCTGAATGTTCAATGTAACTTGTCCCAGCTGACCAAGGGGGAAAAAAACCCTAAAATGTTGGCAATGAAACAACGGCTACAGCTCATGATTTATAGAACTTATGTAATTCTTTGGTGCATTTAAAAAAAAAAAAAAAAAAAAATCATGGCATCAGCTCGATAGGCTTTTATTACAGCAATATTAATGTTCATAGTTCACATGTGGCTTTAACCGCCTGTTGAAGCAGCAGCAAACAGAAAACACTTCTGAACACTCACATGATCTGCTCTGCTGTTTCAGTGATCGTTTCAATGTGTCCTCTGCTGAAGGAGGTGATAAAGGAAGCACTGAAGTATCTTTTTAGTATTTAGAGAATTCGACTGCGATTATGGCCAACACGCTGATACTCTGCATAACAGCAGTGACGTAGCAAAATTGACCATTTGAATACACACCATTTTTCACACTGCAAATATACACACTATATTACATTGAAAAACCTTTGTAGATTTCTTTTGCCATCTTTAAAAATAAAAGTAACAGACTTGCCTCACTGGATATATGTTCACTAAGAGCAGCAAGAAAAGCACAGTCCAGGTAATGACAGTAATCATGGCTAAATTGTATTTAGTTGTGTCAGCAAGGTGCCGAAGTATCCAGCATACCAAGCAGCAAAGCACTAGCTCTGCAACAGCTCATATCCATCAGCTCGTTTGTAAAACTTATTCGAACCGG